GATCCCTTAAACGTTTTGAGTTTTTAAAGAAACATATCGAGAAAGGTAAATTCAGGAACAATGCACGTGTTAGGATGACATGGCCTGGAAGAGCCCGCGTTTTTTATCTGCGTCTTCGCGCTGGGTGTGGGCGCCCGGCCGGCTCCCCTGGCTGTTCTCAGCAGGCTCTGGCAGGAAGAGTTTGCTGGTAAATGCTTTAAAGATTTTTGGTGCTATGGTGCCCCCTACTGGAATATTGCTAAATATTTCTTTGTCTAAATAAAAACCCAAGCGTTTTCATTCAAAAAAGAAAAAAAAAAAAGTAGATGATACAGTCCCCAGTAAAGCGAAAGAATGACCCATAAAAACACGAAGTGCGTTGCTGTGTCTGCTTCACTATAGTCATCTGATGTGTCTATAGGATGTAAGGAAAGGCTCACTGCAGCTCAGACGTTTAGGAAAACCAAAGCCTGTTCTTTCCTGTCAGCCGCATGTTTTTCCTGACGTGTTTTCCTCACCCGGCGTCGTGCGTGTGGAATGTTTACCTATGTCGCGGTGCTGTCGCTGTTAGCACAATCTCCTACTATTCCCTATGATTCCACTAGCAGGATATGGTTGCTTTTAAGTGATGCACGGAGTCAGAGATCAAAGAGTACAGGGCTGCCCGCCTACATCCAACTCGAGTTCTTCCTGCACTGGCCAAGCAGGTGACTCCGTGACCATACACCGCCGCCAGACGGGTAGGTCGTGACATCGTCACACAGTCACATGACCGATGGGATCGGGTCTTCTCGTCGAGAGGAAGATTCAGCGCGGTCTCTGCTAACTGTGATTGTGGGAAGGACGTGATGCAGTCTGCGTCCGTGAACTGTGGGGAGCAGGCACCTGGAGTCGGGGTCGAAGGAGCATCACGAAACGTGGGAACGACATGACCGGCTACTGCGGACATCTGCTGGCGGAGCCTCTGCCAAGTAGCTAAGAAACCTCTCCTGTCCTCCAGCTCGTCTCCTGTGTGACAGGTTCTCTGTGCAATGCGTCAGTGTACTGCTTACCTGTAGGTGACAGCCATTAGATCATGTGTGGGGAGAGGTTGGAAATATCCTTGAGATAGTAGTTGGAATTTTAACTAGGCTGTTGCATGGACGTTGCCTCTATCTGTGTTCCTACTTCGAGATTTGTAGTTAAATGGTTTGGTATTTAAACAAGCCATTAACATTTTTTTTAAATTATGCCATCTAGTGGGTGCGGCTTATGGAAATAAAGTGTCATTTCAAGTGGCGTTGCTGCAATACCTAAATATTTTCTTGAGGACATTCTCTTAAATGAAGGAGTACCCCGATAATTTCCGTGTGACTCGTCGCGTTGGCTAAAGGTTTTTACAGAGACTGAAAATCTGCTGAGAGAGGTCTCTGTGACTACGAGGACAGGCAATTTGAGTTTTACAGTGATGCCGAAGGGTTGGAATTGTTTTCCAGAAAAAATAAAGGCTGTGTGTGTGAGAGAGAGAGGGACACTCTCTAAAGAAGCTGAAATGAGGAGGGAAGACAAAGAAACGGAGAGAGACGGACTCTGGCGACCTCGTTCGTGCCGCCGAGTGCAGCAGTGACTAAAGCCAGAAGCGCTCTCGGATATTTTAGTTACAGGAGCCAGCGGACGGCTTTTCGCAGAAGTCATTTCGGTCGGATAACTTCGCCTGTTATTTTCAAGCAAAAAAAAAAATCTCACGCGACACTCCCTGATGGTCGCAAGTTCTCACTTCCCATTCATTCCTCCGTCCGCTGCGATCTGTCGTCCAGCCTCGGCCGCCCCCGAGAGCTCTGCCCCTAAGTTCCCCTCCGCGTCTGCTGGAAATCATGTCCCTTGTCCTTTCTGGAGAATTAGAAAACGTTAGGCAGTCTCCCTTTTTCCGAAACCACCTTATCCCTCGAATTTCTTCATTTTGCTGTTTTTTACTGTTTTCCTTCCAGCCTCTCTGCGTGTAATTCTCTCCCTCTTTCTTCAAATCTTAAAACTGATCACGGTCGGGGCATCACCCTCTTCTTATTCTCTAAATCGACGTTCTCTTCCGTGGGGTTTCATCCACGGTCGGGGTTTTGATGGTCAGGCACATGCCAGCAGTTTCCACGTTTCTGCATCCCGTCTAAGTCCTCCTTAAACTCCAGACGCACACGCCAAACGTTCTGCCCGACGCCCTCCCCCAAACGCCCGGAGCTGCGAGCGCCGTCTCCTCCGCAGACCCGGCTTCCTCTTGTCCCGTGTGCCCCACCTTCTCCTGTGTCCTTACGTCAAATCAGCTGCTAGGTTTCTCCTCTATATTCATTGATCCGATGGCTTCCATCGCTTTGGGAAAAAAGTTGGATCTCCTTCTCATGGCCTGGAGGGCTTGTTCCGGCCTCTTCTGCCCAAGTCGTCATCATCAGATCTGTTGGATTTTTCCCTCGCGTTGACTCGTTGGCTCAAAATCATACGACGTTACTTACCGAACACCTGTCATAGGCCTGGTTCTCGGCTACAGAGCTTCACGCCCTGACCTGCTTCCCCGCCTCACGTGATGCTCGCTGGTCTCGGGAGAAGGAATTTTGCTTATTAGTTGGAATCAAGTACATCTGCGACCTAAACGTCTTCGCAGACTGCTGGAGATATAAGTAGATCTCACGGATGATCAGCTCTTCACGGGGAAAGGACCTTGCCTCATCGTAACCGAACCCAGCACCGAACAGCATGCCAGCCGAACAAGGAATATTTCTCGAACCTAATGGAATCAAATGAACCTTTTTGCAGTTCTAAGGAATTAGGTGTTTTTATTGAGAAAGGGCATAGCAAAATAGTTTTAAATATTTAAAAGCTCACATAGTCCTTGGACAAAGTGGAGGCAGGTATTATATAAGAAGTGCTCACACACGCGAACCAACTGAAATGTTTCGAATGTGGCAGTGAGCGGAGATCTTCACACTGTGGCAATAGTCTAAAATTGTCACTATTATGAGGATTATTTTTCTTTTCCCTTAAAACACAAGAGCTGTGAGTTACTGCTACACTGATATTTTTTCTTATTATTTCCCTTGCAAATCAGCACAATTCTAAGAACTTAATTTAGAAGGAAATAAGAATAAATAAGGGGAGAAGGAAAACTATTAATGGAAAAAGGAAAATGTTATTTTATATAAAACAGAAAGATAAAAGCTCACTAAACAAAAGGTGGGACAAAAATATAAATAATGTAAATTTTAAAAAGTACTTAAATATGAATGATTAAGAAAAAGTAGAGAGAAAATGAGAAAATGAGATATTATATATATTTTAATCATATGTATTTTATTACACACTTACATATAACATATAAATATATATCACATATAAAATACAAAAAGAACTAAACCAGGAAATGTCCGTACAAATACTGGGCTATAACCCTCTGATGGGGAAAAAAAAACTTTTCCGATCAGTTCGTCCTCAGAAAATAAAATCTCAAGCCATTTTGATCACGATGCAAAGGTATCTTAAATACTAGTCAATTTGTTCTTCCATCTGAAACCTAATTCTCTCTCATAACGTCAGCCGACTGTTATTCGGGAAAGAGGCTCGTGATCCGTTTAACAGACGTTTGCCACCACGGGGGATGAAAACGCGTCTCCGTCCCCGGCAGACGGGGTGCAGTCCCCATGACCCCACTGGAACCGGCCGCCCCGCGCTCCCACAGACGCAGACGATCCGCCCCGTCAGCCTCGTCCCTCTCACCGCTTGGACTCCAATCGTTTCTTCTCGGAACGGCCTCTCCTCTTCCTCTTGTTGGCTTCGGCTTTCCTCCGACCTAGAAAGTTAGGTCACCGTGGCCGGTCTTCTCCTTAAACATCACTCAACTCCAGGATCCGTCCTGGGCGCCCCTCTTTCGTGTCACGTGGGGGTCCCCTCCAGCTTTAGAGCTGCAGAACCCATCTGCGTGGAGTTCTACGGCCTCAGCCCGGAATCAAGTGCATCTGTGACCTAAACGTCTTCGTCCAAACGCTGCTGACGTTTCTACACGGGGGGCCCGAGTGTATTGCATTTTCCTCTGCCACCTGTTTCCTTTCTTCTTTGGCTCAGTGGAAGCTTCGTGAGCTCCCCACTGCGACTCACCAGGGTGTTGCGATGTCAACCCAAACGTTCCCTTACTACCCGTTCTCTGCCTCCTTCACTTCCGAAGATTTAGAGCGTTTCAGTGACCACCTCCTTAGAGTCTCGGGGTTTTTTTTCCCCTGGTACCATCTTCCTCATGTGCAGCACCATCTTTCTCGTCTGCCTTCTCCAGTTCTCCCGTCCCCCGCCTTCTGATAACCTATTTTCATTTCACGACTCGCTTGACCTAAACTCGAAAAGCTTTTCTATGACACCTGCTCTTACGCATCTCCCTCCAATGGCCGCCTGCAGTCTCGGAGACAATCCCAACTTACCATTCCTCTAGGACTAAGCTATCTGTTTTCAATCTTCGAAGTCACAGCTTAAATGTACCCGAGAGACTCTCTCTAACGCCACCTCCACCAGCCAGCCACCAACCCTGGCAGTCTAAATCAGGTGACCCTCCTCTATGCTTCTCTGGCATACTCTGTCTCATCTGCCATCACGGTCTATGGCTTTTAAAAAATTATTATTGTACAGCTAACACCTCGTAGGTAGGTGTTCAATCGATAGTCATTATCTACATAAACGATGCCTTCGGAGAAAACTTTCCAAAAGTCTTTCCAGAGTCTTTTGTGGGTTTGGAATGAACTCCAATAGCTCTCTTCTATCCTATTATTTTTCTTATTTAACCTGAGAATTAGAAAACGAATAGCATAGTTTTGACACACGTGGGCTTTGTGAACTTGACATCGAGAGAAGAAATATATAGTTTCATTGTGGTAAAAGGGACTAAAAATTGAAAATCGTCACTTTGCTCGTGCCAACTGCCAGAGATGCTGTGTATGTATAAATCTAATCCATGTTTACATATGTGTAGGAAATTCGAAAGTTACTGAGAGATGTTTGTTTTCGTTTTTTTGCAGGAGATAATACAACAGTCCCTTCCACTCCTGGTAAGAATTAATATTTGCATTTTATATATTTTATCTTTTGTCGCTAAGTTTATATATTTAATGTTGATAAAATCTTCTATTATCTAGTGAAATCATTTTGTAAGGATAAACTTTGTAATTATGAATTGTTCTTGACATTTGCTTGTTCTTAACATTTCTGCTTATAAGATATAAAGTTTGATAGCTACCTGAACATATTATTATTTATCTATGTATTATTGTATATAAATTATAGCTGTTCTTAAATGACAGTAAGCCAAATGGCAGGATTCCAATCTCTTTTTAAATTTTAACACTATAAATAAATCAATTTAAGTTAGATCAAAAAACTTTATAGTTAAAAATGAGTTAAGGAATTATGTGAGGAAGTACAGAGAATTTTAAACATATTTATGTGTACATATACATACATATACGCATATACACCTATATATCTTCCTTCGAGAGAAAAGCTTTGAGACTAAGATATTTTGTAATAATTATTTCCAAATTCTACTGTCACAATTGTACTCAGTCTTAACAAATATCCTAGTCCTGAGATAAATTTAGACAATAAATTCATACATAATATATGCAAAATAAGAGAGAAAAACTAGGCTGCATCTGGTTAAAAATAAATTACATCACTTAAATGTTATTGTTATTGAAAGTGTATTATTAATTTCCTGATTAATCATAGGGTTGACAGTACACATTAAGAAGGTAAGTAAAGCTATTAAGACGATGCTGATTTAATAATTATAATGCACAGTTCTAACGAGACACATTCAAAACGCTCTGAGAACTGGATTATTAAAGGAATCATTTTAATAAGTAAATGAAAATGCATTACTATGCAAATAGTAACAAAACACTCCTGGATCTGCATAAGAAGCGTATTCTCTCACTTTTTTTTTTTTAAAGAAGATCTAATATTAGAACTTTATAGTTTTATAGTACGGCAGAGAGGTTTTGTAAATCTATGAAAGTCATTACTACAGAGGAGATTGTGACCGGCGTATGCCATTTACACACATACGACGACTCAGCAACTCTACCTTTCACGGAAGAGTGAGCGAATCTCAGCCACAGACCCCGGCTGTTTCCGCAGGAAGGGGGCTGGGAAAGGGATGGAGAGGGGAGAACTCAAAATGTTCCATGACTCACTGCCTTCTCGAGTGTCCATGCTCTCCACACTGACTCTGTTATAACGAGCCCCCAGTGATGAAACCAGGTACGTTAAAATCGTGCCCCAAAATGCAAACGAGAACGGTCTCTCCTACAAGAATATAATCAGTAAAAACCAGTGGTGTCTCCAAAGCGGGGCACAGGGACAGTGTAGAAATGGCGATGGAAGGAAGTGTGTTTTCTAATTCTAAATCACATTCTTATTTATGGAACTTTGCAATGGGCACTGAGCTTCAGATGTGTGCAGGAGGATGGAGGCTTCTGGGTAGAAGCCATCTTTAAGAATGTTAGTCGTCGAAATAGGGTAGCGTTATCGCGTGAGGCATCTGGAGTGATCTTCCTTCTCGTCTCTGTAATTCAAATCTGACGAAAGACTGAGAGTGGGTGAGAAAGAGACCACTGGAACCCCGACGACACCAAAGTCAGTTTAACCTAAAACGAGCGAACTATCGGTCAAGTCTATAACGATGACGGTCGACGAATGGCATTGGGTAGAACCGTAAGGTCCTCCCTCCCTCCCTGCCCTCCTCTCTCCCTCCCCTGTCTTCCTCCCGTCTCTCCCCACCCTCTACCCCACCCTTTTTTAATTCAACACGGAGCAGGTGAGAGAATGCTCAAGTTAGACCGAAGATTTTACTGAAGACAGGACGTCGCTACTTGCCTATTAGTTGGATATGCTGGCAAGTAATTACGGGTGGACGTTTGTTAGAGAAAATATTTATTTGTGAGTTATTAGGTGGTGAAATTTTAGGAATTGAAATTTTCCTTTAGGAAATAACAGACAACAACGGTACGATCCCTTTGGGTCTCTGTCACCACCGAACAACAGTTCTGCAATATTTCGTGTCCACTGGCGCTGGGACGGTCCGCTTAGTCCGGGAGGTTTTTATACGGTTTTGGCACAAACGGATTTCGCGTTGTTTCTGACACTCACGGATGAAGCCGGGTCTTCTTCGCATCATTTCTGGTCTGCTTTCCTCATTCCCTATTCAGCAATCTCTCATTTTTGTTCTAAATTCTTTCCTGCTTCATCGCGGCTAGTTGTTTGTCTGTTTCTCGCATTTTCTTCTTCTTCTCACGTCTGTGCCATTCTCTCTTATCCAATCTGTTGACCCGAATTTGTAAAAAAATATTTGTGTGATATAACTCGATTTTGTTAATTCAATCTTGCACAATGTAAATTTTGCCATGAATAGAAATACATGATACACATAGAAAATTCAGGAAAACTGTACCTCTCTAATCCCAATATCCACAGATCACAATAGGCTTTTTGTCTCTTAGCAAACAACTTTGGCGTGGTTTCCATTTCTTCTGTACAGAAATACACTTTCTAAAGAGACAGCACCGAACAAAATTCAAGGCCTCTCATGCACGGTGCTAAATCGCCCCGCGGAAGCCACCGCGTCCGCACGTTCGTTGTCGGCTAACGCCACCTGCTCACGTTAATCTCCTTTCTAAAGAATCGAAGCTGTGGAAAGTGTTGTTTCCACATCTCGGCTGTGCTCCTTTGCTATCGGGCGGTTGCAGACGTTCTCGCAGACGCGGGCCGCGTGTGTGTCCGTCTGCGGGCTTCGTTCCCCAGTCTTCCGCCAGCCTCCGCTTGGTTCGAATTTGATTTATCGACGAAATTAATGTGCACGTGGAGCTTCTGCCTTTCACTGTTCCTCCTGGAACCCGTGGTCCTTCTACTCCCCTTCCCGCTCTACCTGCCTCTGCCCTTTTTGCACGGGCATCTTTGACGGTTTCTTGCCTCGTGCTTCATCCTTCCCGACCCTCTGGCTTAGGACGGGCGGGGATCCGGCTGCTGAAGGAGGGGCAGGAACGGCCGCTTTCAGCTGCGTTTCCAGATGTTTCTCTCTGGCCACCGCACTGCGGCTGCCGTTCCCAGGTCCACCTATTGCATCTACACGTCCGTGTGCAGCTCTATCTGTGTATATGTTTGCGTGTGGACGTGTAGACGCACTGACAAATCTATACGCACCCCAGACACATCTGAACACTGTGTGCGGACACACGCGCGTGTACACACGTGTGTCACACACGCACCGGAGCGACTGGCGGTTACGCAGCGCGGGCGAGGACGCGTGTCGCTGTCTGAGTCGCAGGCTGACTTTCTCCTTCTTCTGTCTCTCACGAACGTAACAGGACCGAACGCAGCAGAAAAGTCCAGCGCTTGGTCTCCAGGTGACCTCTTACCTGCTCGCACCACTCCATCCTCACCCGCAAGCATCTCTGAACGAGAAAGCGACTCCTCAGAGCCCACGCCGCCCCCGAGTCCAGGCGCGCCCTCCGCAGAGGCGCCCCCGCAGCCCCCGGAGAATGCTAGTAGCCCTGAGCTGACGGGGTGGCACCGAGGTGCGAACCGAAGGGGCTCAGGGAACCTGGTCTCTGACGTCACCAGGACAGTTTGCCGTTACATTGTGTGCTCGGTCTCTCTGTGTGTGATTTTATGAAAGTGTCTAAGAGGCAGGACATGTAGGTGTTTGTGGGATGTGGCCTGACTCGCATAGTGAGTACGTGTTGTTAGGGGGCAGGACGAAGGAGAGAAGCCCCCCCCGTCTCCCACCCCCCAACA